ACTATCAAATATTGCTATATGCTCGCGACATAAAAATGCAACAAAAAAATAGTAAAGGACTATTTTTGCAACATTTGGGACCAAACTTGCAATACGATTCCTGTGGGACTAAATTTGTAATTTCTTGTTTTTCAACCTAACGGCGCACAGAACCATCCGTTACTTTTGACGTGCATGGGATCAAAGCAACAAAAACTAAAAGAAGACCGATTTTACAATATATGGGACCAATTTTGCAATAGGTCCAATTCTACGGTACCAAATTTTTAATTCTCTGGCAAATATAGATTTAAGTTTTCACCCTAACAACCGAAATAAAGTCCTCTTGGGGTGAGCATTGGTCGATACGGTTCGGAGATTGAGAAATCTCCAAAACCGTACTAAAATTTGGAGATCAATAAAATTCGATATCCGAAACCGTACCAAAAAATCGGAACGGTTCGGTTCAAAGATTTTATTTTTCCGGTTCGGTATTCTGGATTGTCGGAACAGTTTGGTTCGGTTCGGATCTTCAGAGACTTTTTATTGTTTTTAATTTTTTTTGAATGACGACATAGTTATATTTTAATTTTTATATCTTTAAAAAAACCAACATTCATCAATATTTCATCATATTAAAGATTTTATTTTGATATCAACTTTAGAAGTAACTTTAAATTTAGTTAAGACTAAATTTATGCAACCAACATTGAAAAATTTAATATTTAAATAAAACATAACATAGTATTTTCTTAAAAAAAAATATTTCTTTAACCTGTCATACTAAATTAAATATAAGATAGAATAAGATTAAAATAAGTATCGATAATTTTAGGTAACATTTAAATATTTTTTTTAAACATTTATTTAACCTTTCATACTATTTTAAATATTTTTTTTTATAACAGGAAAATTCAGTTGTAGATCAAGTATTACTATACATGAAATTTAAGTAAAACTTAATTGTTATTACTATATTTTATTTGTATTTTAAAAGTTCTCAAATTATGTAGGATCAAAGTTGACATAAAATATATTAATAATATACATTATTATTCAGTTCTTCGGTTCAGTACGATATGAGATGGTTCGATTCAGTTTTCGATACGAATTCAGTTCGGTTCAGTTTGGAGAAAGTCAAACGATCAACGTTATTTTTCGGTTTGAATTGATTTCGGTTTTGACTTTCAAAACGGAATTTTCCAGAGTCCCATGGTCAGTCCTAAAGTCCTCCACCATCTCTCCTATGTTATCTATGCAGTTCTTTACAATTTCACCCAGAAATAGGGTTAGAGACTGAAAAGTACCTACGAACAAAAAAGCACGCTTTTGTGGTTTCACAAACATTTAACGAGCATCGTTCTGTATATTCAACAGATCAAATAGTGGACTTTTACGGAGAAGTTAGTTCCAGAGAGATTTTCTCAGAGTTTCAAATACCGAGCCTTTCTAATGGCGTCTGCTATCATGAAATGGATGGTCGACCCGAACCGCAATCCCCTCGCCGCTCTTCACATGAAAACGTTGTCCAATCGCCTCAAGAAATACGGTACTTTTTTCTTTTTGGGTATAGATAGAAAATGCTCGTTCTCTGCGGGTATCGTGTTATTTGACCTTTTTTTCTCGTATATTTCGTGTTTTGGGAAACCAGGTCTTCGATATGACGATCTGTACGACCCGATGTACGATCTGGATGTGAAGGAGGCGCTGAATCGGTTACCTAGACAGATCGTTGATGCGAGAAATCAGCGCCTCAAGCGCGCTCTGGACCTATCCATGAAGCACGCCTACCTTCCAGAAGATCTCCAGGTATTCATTTACAGAGCTATGAATACGTGCCCCTATTTCTGGAAGATTGAATCATTGTTAGGTGCTGGAAAAATTAGGGAATTTTATAATTGACATGTGGTTTGCATATTGATTTTGGCTCTAGGCGTGTAGGTACTGGGGTGTTTTGGGATTTGCTTTTTGGTCTTTTCTTGATGCCAGTATAGTAAGTAGTGTGTCCAATTAGTTGTTTGATTTTACGGTGACACTACTCAGGCTGCTTTTAAGTTTCTTATCGATCATGAATTCTGGCGAGATAATAGTCCATTTATCTTATTTTTATCTTATTTTTTGTGCTTCTGATTGAGCTGGTTGAGGGTCTTAACCGTTAGCAGAGCCAACAACATTAGTTAGCTCGCAGTGGGTGATGGTTGCTTATGCCCCGAGTTTTGTGTTTTGTGTTGTGTGCCGTCTTCCTTGCGGAGTGTCTGGTTTTCCATTGTAATGTGGTTTAGTTGTCTCCTTGTAGGAGTGTGCTCTTCTCCTTTGCATTGTATGAGCAAGGAGCCCTCTTTGCCAGTTGGCTGCGGTTGTAAGTTATTGTTGAGTTGAATGATATATCATCTCCGAAAAAAATAAAAAATGTAAAAACTTGGTCAGAAATCATTTAGTCCATTGCATGTCTGTTAAAATTAAGCATCCCTTACCAGGAAACTGTGTAATAGGTGCTGAAGAAGAGAGACCAGTAGTAATTTTCCTGTTTGATGAGGAAGTGGCTACTATACTTAGGTCTGTCTGTTGAGTGTCTTTCTCCTCTTGAAAAAAATAAAAATCAAGATTCTTCTACTTCTTTTTATGTGTATCGATCTTAATAAGTCAACCACTATGAGGCTATTATGTGCCCAAGAAGGGCGGTGCATTTGGTACATGTTTAAATAAACCAAGCCTTATGGGCTCGTGTCCTGAGAATCAGTTTGTGATAACTGAGACATTCCAGACTTAACATATCAAGACCAGTTACTAAAATGACCATAGCCATGTATGCACTTTACGAGTGTATGTACTATGTTGTAACGTCCATGCATTTCGTATTTCCTTTTCCTATCTTTTCTAGGGGATAGTTCTTTTAATGTTGGTGTCGTAGGCTGAGATTTACCAGTTTAGTTTAACTTCATTTGTGATGTGATATTGGATATCTTTGTTTTGCCTTATATTTGATTTAACAAAGAGAAAAATACTCAAAAGAAGTATAGTAGTAGCTGTCAGTTGTATAATCACACTATTTTCGTTTAATCTCTATGTCTGTTGTGGGAGTTAGTTTTTCTTGTCATATTCTGTATTACTTTAGTTTTTCTTGTCATATTCTGTATTACTCGTTTTGTATCTTTCTTGTGGGACAATAGATGTTTAATAATTACTCTTGCTGTTAACTTCATCACCGTTTGCTTTATCCCTCCCGCCATACCAGTAACAGTGCAAGTTGTAAGAACTGAAAGCTAACATATAGAACATTATATACTTGATTCTTACTTGCTGCTTTTCTTAAATGGGTTTGCCTAGGTTCCAACTATGATCCTGGGGAAAGTATGTCGTTGCTTTGTTTATTTAGTTTGCTAGCCAGTCTAGCTTTGCTGCTAATCCATATTGTTTTCTCTGTTGTCTTTTATAGGCAATGCAGACACCATTCAGGAGTTATCTTCAAGAGATGCTTGCTCTTGTGAGTGCCTAAACTACATTACGTAACCTTAATGCTCAAATGTTTACATTAAATTTAAAATTTTATTTCTTAGTAATTAAATCAGTAACTGGGGCTTTTAAGAAAACAACATCTTACTACTTCAGCTCGTGCATGTGAGATGTGACACGTTGATAATGTGGAATGACAAAGTTGTATTATGGCTCACACTTACTATTCCCATGTGGGTTATGCATGTTACAGTTTTCTCCTTAGAAAGTTTATACGTCTATGTTTATAATGTAACTGCAGGTTAAGAGAGAGAGAGCTGAACGTGAAGCACTTGGAGCTTTGCCTCTTTATCAGCGCAGCATTCCATGAGTATTTCAATCTTCGCTAGGCCACAATATCTTTGATTGAATTACATGTGATTGAATAAGGGCGGGTCATTTTGGTCCCTTTCTAAGAGTGGACTGAAACTGTTTCTGAATTTGTGCTCCTCTCCTTGATACATCTGCGAGCATTGGGCTCATGCATCGTTTGATTATTAGTTCACATTATATATATACTGTGTTTAGGCTTGTTGCTTTTGTTTATGCGTGTGTTTCAGTGTTTGTATCGTCTTAAGTCTCAAAGTGGGGCTTGTATTTCTTGCGAGTTATCCAAGACTTATAAAGGATGATTCTGGTTTTATTCCCAAGTTATCTGGGAGGTTATAAGATTGTGTTATGGCTTATGGTCCGGCCAATTGTTGGCGAAAGAAGTGAGCCGAAGTTTATCGCTCTATGAAAGCCCATTTTTATACAAGGTTTATGAAGTGTTATTTAAGAAAATTTAGAGGTAGACAAACAGATAATGCACAACAATTTGCATGACATGAATAAATATTTTCTGAAATTGATAAAGTTACATATCCTTAATATGTTGCCCATGTCTGAGCTGGTACCTTCTGATGAAGGGATTGACTATTAGCTTACAGTGCTTTGTAGACAGCAAGCTTCATTGTTGGCTTTG